TGTGTGTGTGTGTGTGTGTGTGTGTGTGTGTGTGTGTGTATCTATTGTCATATTGTTAACCCGGGGGGATTACCTCAGATCCCTCCAAGCCCTGCCCCCCTTCAACAATCCATGCATGGTTTATTTCTGAATGTTTGTGTGTGTGTGTGTGTGTGTGTGTAACTATTCTTCTGTTGATTTTTCTTTGGATTACAGTGAATTTATTGGTTTAACAGAAGTTGACTGATTTTATTCACACCATTAAAAAAGAAAAGAAAAGAAAAACAAACTCTTCCTTTAAAGGCTTCACTTCTCAAGATGCCTCCAAATTCCTGGGCGGATGAAGCTCTTTCTTTGAGGAGGAACGCAGAGGGCATTCCTCATCAGGGCGACACACAAAGCAGCCTTTCACCGAGTCCTGGCTCTGAAATTTCACAGGTGATGGAAGGATCGGTGAGCCCCCCACCCACCCCCACCCCCYCCATCAGGGCAGCGCAGCAGACTGGGGGCCGGAGAGAAGGTGAAAAACAGGCACGGCTGAAGTGACTGCACCTCCAGCAGCTGATAATTTGTGTCGGTAAAATCAACACAAAGACACGACAAACACGGTGTTTGTACCGCAGGAGGAGGCAGACAGGCACTGCCCTGTCTCCTCCGGAGGGAAAGGCTGTTCTCGGCCCCCTCAGCCCCTCAGGCAGGAGGAGGAGTGGGATGATGAAGGCCTGGAGAAGAGAAGAGCTTGAAACAGACCTTTAGGTGGTGAACGGTGAAGAAGCGCTGTCAACAAGACATCATAAAACCAGTCAGAACCCAACTCCAGCTGGTCGTGACGTCAAATATCAGGAAGACATTTTGAAGAAGTCACTGTTTTATTCAGGGAAACCTGCCTGAAAACACCTGAGCTCAGGTCGTGTTTGCCTGCTGTAAAYGGACTCCTTCGTGATTGAAGGAGCGATGAATGGGGCAGAGGGGCCCTCTGTGGTGGGATCGTGGGATTCCCATCAGTTTGGAAACAGCTCAGAGTAAATCATGTCTTCATTGTGCTGAAAGAAACTTATCAGAGAAACAGTTTGAGAGAAAACCCTCCAAAGTGTAAACCTAACAATTACAGCATCACTGACAGGGTTTTGGAGATGATTGAGATTAAAATAAAAAAAATAAGTTTAGGTGACATGAATATGAGGAGTTTAAATATAAACAACACCATGGACAAAGTGTGGCAGAACAGAGAGACACTGTGTGGCTGGCAGCAGAAACTCTGAGGGATTTATAAATTAGWYMSATCCATCCATCCATCCATCCATCCATCCATCCATCCATCCATCCATCCATCCATCCATCCATCCATACATCCATTTTCTTCCGCCTATCCGGGGTCGGGTCGCGGGGGCAGCAGCTTCAGAAGGGAGGCCCAGACCTCCCTCTCCCCAGCCACTTCTTCCAGCTCCTCCGGGGGAACTTCAAGGYGTTCCCAGGCCAGCCGAGAGACATAGTCCCTCCAGCGTGTCCTGGGTCTTCCTCAGGGCCTCCTCCCAGTGGGACGTGCCCAGAACACCTCACCAGGGAGGCGTCCAGGAGGCATCCTTACCAGATGCCCGAGCCACCTCAACTGGCTCCTCTCVACGTGGAGGAGCAGCGGCTCTACTCTGAGTCCCTCCCGGATGACCGAGCTTCTCACCCTATCTCTAAGGGAGAGGCCAGCCACCCTGCGGAGGAAACCCATTTCGGCCGCTTGTATCCGGGACCTCGTTCTTTCGGTCATGACCCAAAGCTCATGACCATAGATGAGGGTAGGAACGTAGATCGACCGGTAAATCGAGAGCTTCGCTTTCTGACTCAGCTCTCTCTTCACCACGACGGACCGGTACAGCGCCCGCTTTACAGCAGAYGCTGCGCCAATCCGCCTGTCGATCTCCTGCTCCCTTCTTCCCCCATTCGTGAACAAGATCCCCAGATACTTAAACTCCTCCAGTTGAGACAGGGTGACCCCCCTGACCCGGAGAAGGCACTCTACCCTTTTCCGGCTCAAGACCATGGCCTCGGATTTGGAGGCACTGAGCCTCATCCCGGCCGCTTCGCACTCGGCCGCGAACCGCTCCAGCGAGAGCTGCAGATCTCGTTCCGATGAAGCCAACAGGACCACATCATCCGCAAAAAGCAGAGATGTGATCCTAAGGCCACCAAAACGGATCCCCTCAACACCTCGGCYGCGCCTAGAAATTCTGTCCATGAAAGTAATGAACAGAATCGGTGACAAAGGGCAGCCTTGGYGGAGTCCAACTCTCACCGGAAACGAGCCCGACTTAMTGCCGGCAATGCGGACCAGACTCTGACACCGGTCGTACAAGGACCTGACAGCCCGTATCAARTGGCCCGGTACCCCATTCTCCCGGAGTACCCTCCACAAGGCCCCCCTTGGGACACGGTCGAACGCCTTCTTCAAGTCCACATAAATTAGTCAGATGAAAAATCCAAATGTGTGTCTGCCAAACATGTGGCTTCATCTCCGTTTATTGTTCCAGTAAACATCTGCAGAGGGAGTGGAAGAAGGTTTTTCAGTTTATTGCATTATTCAACAATAATGTATCAAGTTCTTTATGGTGCAGACCTGATATCAGCTAAAATCCTGTTTCAGAGGTTAGCCTGGCTGCTAACAGCTGATCCAGCTGAAGGATCACTGCTTTAAGACGCAGGAAGCTTCAGACTCAAACATTTCTTATCAATCTGAGAAAAACCAGCTCCGACTCAGAGTTAAAGGTAAAAAACCATGAAATTACTGAAAAGGAAGAGCCAGATTTAAAAATTAGTCTTCCTGTTTATTATTCTGTTTTTAAGCTACTTTTAATCAAATTACTTCCACTAACTCTGCTTTTTTTAATGAACAGTAAATCAAAACATTCAGCTCAATTTAGAACAGTGTGTTACAACTTTTAGTACTTTTAACTTTTATACTTTTTGAATTATATATGTGGATTTGCTCGTTTAGCTTTTAGTTAATGTACGCTATTATTAGCAKTTAGCTACAAGTTAAATTATTTAAACTTTTAGCTGCTGAACTGCTGRATTCAGCTTCTAGTTACTGTACTGATGTAAGCATTTAGCAACAATTTAGCTAATTTTGGCTTTTGGCTTCTGTGTTGCTGATTTGACGTTTTAATTGCTGTAATGTTATTATTAGCATTTAGCTACAAATTTACAAATTTTAAACTTTAGCTGCTGAATTGCTGATTTTGGCTTTTGGCTACTGAATAGCTTTTTGCTACAAATATACTTATAAATTTTAGTTACTGTATTGTTGTTTAAAGTATTTAGAAACAATTTAGCTAATTTTAGCTTCTAAATAGCTGATTTTAGCTTTTAGCCACTGTATTGTTATTAGCAGAAGTTCAGCTACAAATTTACAAATTTTAACTTTTATCAGCTGAATTGCTGGTTTTAGCTTTTAGCAAAGCAGTTTTAGCATTCAGCAAAAATTTAGCCAATTTTAGCTTTTTCTACTGTATTGCTGATTTTAGGTTTTAGCTATTGTATGGCTGTTTTAGCATTTAATAATAACTTAGCTAATTTTAGCTTTGACTACTGAATTGCTGATTTTAGCTTTCAGCTACAAATTTACTCATTTTAACTTTTAGCTATTTTATGGCTGTTTT